AGGCATATGAGCATCAAACACGTCCAGCTTGATATCGTACAACGGAACCAACAGGCAAACTAACGAGCATCAGACACGTCCAGCTTCATATCGTACAACGGAATCAACAGGCAAACTAACGAACATCAAACACGTCCAGCTTCATATCGTACAACGGAACCAACAGGCAAACTAACGAGCATCAAATACGTCCAGCTTCATATCGTACAACGGAACCAACAGGCAAGCTAACGAGCATCAAACACGTCCAACTTCATATCATGAAAGAAATATGATATTTCTCAATGATATCACTTTGGCCACTATAAAACTTGATCTTCTGACCCGTGTCACGAGTTTGTCAGTTGACGACATCTTGCATGAAGTCACTGATCACGGACTTTTTGTTTGAAAATTAAGAACATGGATTGGCGTTTCAACAACCAGGCAAATGGATTACAAGATAGAATTATTGGCTGATATTTATTAATGTAACTCATAGATCTTAATCAGAAAGAACATGTATACGAGTTCAAGGAATTCGATATCTATATATATATATAACCCATATGTGTGTGTGTGTGTGTGTGCGTGCGTGCGTGCGTGCGTGTGTGTGTGTGTGTGTGTGCGTGCGTGCGTGCGTGTGTGCGTGTGTTTGTGTAAAAGCATTGCCACAGCAGAGAAAAAATCAATTTCTAATCACTGCCCTTCTTTTCATTAGTGTTATAGATACCGTGCGATGCGAATCCTAGATCAAGAGTTTTCAGTTGTTAATCTTTAAATAACAGATCATACGCATTCATATAAAAAGATGTGATGGTTTTATTTAACAGACATTGTTGCACTGAACTGTAACACTCTGATTTTTATAATAATCATTGAAGCTGGTTATTTTTTGTTTGCGATTTTGAACAAGGATATTTATGCTACTGCGGAATAAAATTCGAAACAAGTCCGATATGTTATGAGCCGAACAATTACGGACTTGTGACCACTAATCTAAGCTTAGTTGGTTGACGGGTTTTCCGCCTCTACGACTTCTTCCGTGTCCGGTATAATCGTCTCCACGACTCCTTCCGTGTCCGGTATAATCGTGTTCAGGACTCCTTCCGTGTCCTGTATAATTGTCTCCACGACCCTTCCGTGTCCTGTATAATCGTCTCCACGACTCCTTCCATGTCCGTTTTAATCTTCTCCATTGTCTCCACGACTCCTTCCGTGTCTGGTATAATCGTCTCCACGACTCCTTCCGTGTCCTGTATAATCGTCTCTACGGCTTCTTCCGTGTCCGGTATAATTGTCTCAACGACTCCTTCCGTGTCCGGTATAACCGCCTTTACGACTCCTTCCGTATCCGGTATAAACGTCTCCACGATTCCTTCCGTGTCCTTTATAATCGTCTCCACGACTCCTTCCGTGTCTGGTATAAACGTCTCCACGACTCCTTCCGTGTCCAGTATAACGTCTCCACGACTTCTTCGTGTCAGGTATACTCGTCTCCACGACTCCTTCCGTGTCCGGTATACTCGTCTCCACGACTCCTTCCGTGTCCGGTATACTCGTCTCCACGACTCCTTCCGTGTCCGGTATACTCGTCTCCACGACTCCTTCCGTGTCAGGTATACTCGTCTCCACGACTCTTTCCGTGTCCAGTATAATTGTCTCCACGACTCCTTCCGTATCCGGTATAAACGTCTCCACGACTCCTTCCGTGTCCTGTATAATCGTCTCCACGACTCCTTCCGTGTCAGGTATAATCGTCTCCACGACTTCTTCCGTGTTCGGTATAATCGTCTCCACGACTCCTTCCGTGTCTGGTATAAACGTCTCCACAACTCCTTCCGTGTCCGGTGTAATCGTCTCCACGACTCCTTCCGTGTCAGGTATACTCGTCTCCACGACTCTTTCCGTGTCCGGTATAATTGTCTCCACGACTCCTTCCGTGTCCGGTATACTCGTCTCCACGACTCCTTCCGTGTCCGGTATACTCGTCTCCACGACTCCTTCCGTGTCCGGTATACTCGTCTCCACGACTCCTTCCCTGTCCGGTGTAATCGTCTCGCCGATGAACGTCTGTGTCCTGGCGTCGTCAATGTTAATTTGTAGTAAAGACTTCAACAGATACCAAGGCTGCATTCGCCACGGCTGAAACGCATCAGTTGGTCGGGAATTATTCCACTGTGTAACGCCTGCATTAGATAAAGTCAGCTAGATGCGCTTCTATTCAAGATCACTTTTTCTATTTGAAAGGTAGTTTTTAAATCAATGTAGTAATTTATCATGAATTCCCACTGACGAAAGTTTACATACAAGACCACCTTGGCACACGCAATCTAACGCGTTACTCTTCACCATTGTGAATGGCTTTGCCGGTATCGTGGGTATACTTAGCAACCGAATGACGTCAGCAACAAAACCGGAGTGGTGATTGTAATAATATGGTTAGTATTCAGAAAATTGGGAATTTATTTAAAGACGCAGCTTTACATCTATTTGCCAGTTTTACGATCATTCTTGTAATGTTTTAATTATAGCTGTTGTGAACAGGAGTGACAATATCTCTTTCCCACTGCCGAGGAAAAGTGCCCGTAGACAGAGATTTGTTGCTTAGAGATCATGTTTCGAACCGTTTATGAACCAGAATGAACGTGTAAACATCGTGATGAACCAGCATGATAGTGTAAAAATCGTGATGAACCAGCATGAACGTGCAAAAAACGTGATGAACCAGCATGAACGTGTAAAAACGTGATGAACTAGCATAAACGTGTAAAACACGTGATGAACCAGCATGAACGTTTAGAAAACGTAAGGAACCAGCATGAACGTGTAAAAAACGTGATGAACCAGCATGAACGTTTAAAACACGTGAACCAGCATGAACGTGCAAAAAACGTGATGAACCAGCATGAACGTGTAAAAAAACGTGATAAACCAGCATAAACGTGTAAAACACGTGATGAACCAGCATGAACGTGTAAAAAAACGTGATGAACCAATATGAACGTTTAAAACACGTGATGAACCAGCATGAACGTGTAAAAAACGTGATGACACAGCATGAACGTGTAAAAGATTGTGATGAACCAGCATGAACGTGTAAAAAAAACGTGATGAACCAACATGAACGTGTAAAAACGTAATGACATAGCATGAACGTGTAAAAATCGTGATTAACCAGCATGAGCGTGTAAAAAAACGTGATGAACCAACATGAACGTGTAAAAATGTGATGACATAGCATGAACGTGTAAAAAATTGCGATGAACCAGCATAAACATGTAAAAAACGTAGCAATACAATAACAATTGACAACTCGAAAGCAAACAAAGATGGTGTAAAAAGAAAATAAATACGTGTCCTGCATGTAATAACATAAATCACTAAAACTACTGGGAGTTGTGACTAAATAAAGGGATTGGTAGGGATGAATACAGGGAGGGGGAGGGGTTAAGTGGGCTATATGTATATACAGAGTGGGGAGAGCGGTAAATTGGGTTAAATATATGTTGAAATAATCATCAAATTAACAAAGGCTTGTCTGAAAACACTCAAGCTGTTCGTCACGATGTTCCAACTCTTAACCAATCAGATAGAAAATAGATAAGTAGGCCGATACTATTTTCAGATAACTTTATTATCCAAAATGATGGAGGTCTGAAACATACAAAAAGTAACATTGTAAATAAAATCAACTATCTGTTGGTAAGACATAAGTAATAGACTAACAAGTAAATACATAATCCTCTATCCCTCCCCGAGTCATTTATAAGTATTTTAAATGACTGATTTAATGTTTTTGTCCTTGTGGGAAGTATGGATGGAATAAGTCTATTACTGTTCATTGTCACTGAAAATGTGATATGCCTCAACACTGTTATTACATTGTGAGATCAAATTATGTATCAATTAACAGTAAATGTAACATACAAAGAAAATGAAATTAAAATGATAAGGTACTATTTGTACATTAATTAAAAAGTAGAAAAGTAGAATTGTCATTGGGCAGACTACCCTCCAGTTCGGGGATTATTCTGCCCCATTTAATGCTCATAATCACTAAGCCATTTTGGCTCTTGTCGTTGTCGATTAGGACGTCTTGGGGGTAAGGTCAACGGATAGTTGCTCTGGTCTGTTTGTCACGATCCTCCTGGGTGTGACTGGTGTTGCAGGTGGTTAGGCGGGAAAAGGACAAATTGATTGACAGGTTGTCCGTCTCCGTGCACGAGACCACCCCGTGTGGGTATCTTCTCAACGACGAACACCTCCATCATAGATAAGTAGGCCGATACTATTTTCAGATAACTTTATTATCCAAAATGATGGAGGTCTGAAACATACAAAAAGTAACATTGTAAATAAAATCAACTATCTGTTGGTAAGACATAAGTAATAGACTAACAAGTAAATACATAATCCTCTAGAAAAGTCAGTTGAAGAGACATTGCTGTGAACATTATCACACCATCGCCAGCATTGAAAACAATTGAATATTGCTGAAGTTTGCAATAAAAGATAAGAATGAAATAAACACCTCCAATCGATACATTATCAGAGAAGATGACTTTTATTTCAGTTGGGATTTTTTCACCAATTTTACAACAGATCGGACAGCCTCATGAAATTCACGTATAACTGCGATTGAGTCGCCCATATTAATTTTTCGCGTCTCCGATACTATTTGGACACGTGGCTTCCGGACACTAATTTTGGAACGTGACATTACTTCCCGAGATTGGTCATAATTTACATTGCGAGTGTCGTGATAAAGCAGAAGACGCTTACTCTTTTGGAACATTTGGTCTTAGTTTCCGTGTACTTTTTTCAGAAATTTCTCTGTAAATCTTCCCAACCTTCATTTTAAGGCCTCTACCCAAACCGCAAACCATAATTTGGGGCCGTTTCAATTTTGAAATGTTCCTCGTTAAAAAAGTTGGAGCATTCTGAAGGGGAGGTAACTCGCGCAGTGTTTCTGTAGTGACTATAATCGAACGCACCAGAAAATCCTCCCATTACGAATCGAAACTCATGATGTGAGAGGTTCTGTCCTTAAAGAAGACCAGGGTTTTATAAAGCGACATGGATGCAGACGGCCTGCCTCTCGTAGGTCCCGGGGTGGACTACACTAAGGTAGTCATTAACCAGACATTTTAAATCTATACCTTACATCATATTGACAGATTCAGCAGTAAGATTAATTGATCATCCAACAGCAATCTGGGTGTACTAAATGGTATATAGCTTCAGGTTTTAGGTTGATCCTACAAAAAATAACAGGAATCGTATATGAAAAATGATGTGTCTTTGAAGTAGGGTACATTTATATACCCTGTACAACCCAATACTACCGAATACCAGCGTCGATTTACCTAATTAACACAACCCATATCCTTGACGTTATGCTATGTTGACAAACTGCCTCCAAACAAATACGTAAATTAATTCAAATGTGTTCATTCTATAAGATTTACTTTTTAAAATGCTGGTCGATGAAACACCAGAATTTTTCTCAAGAGATCCACAGGTCCGACCTCGAATTCATTTTTCTGTATCGGACAGGTGACTGCCCTTCTGATAACATCACTAAATCATTGAGACGCTTGAGTTGGCTTCCAATGACCCAGAAGTACACATGCAAGTGTTACATGAAATCATCATTTGAATTGGAAAGACATTTTGAAGTTATTGTTTTGATGAAAATAAAAATCCAAATAAATTCACTGTACCAAGTGGTGCATATTTGTGTTTAGGTGTGTGCACCTTTTCTAAAGGGTTAGATCCAAGTTTTTTTTGTTCCTTTTTTTCTTAAATGAGCAATATTTCTTGATTAACTTCTTTCTTGTCACACAAACTGTTTAAATAAAGTTCAACAGTTTCATAAATCAGAATTGAGTGTAGTATTGGGTTGTGTTGAGTAAATCAACATTTGTATAGGGTAGTATTGAGTTGTGTCAGATAAATTAACACTTGTATGGGGCAGTATTCGGTAAATTGATGCACCGCTAAAATATGCCATTAGTAATTTATGCCATTGATACAACGAAGGAGGTATTGCATGCCACAGATAAATGTTAGCGTTATATTCACAGAATAACTCAATTTATTCTTAGGATTATGCTTTTTACATCTTTGTTTGGAATCCAAACATTCTTGATACTAAACTGCATATTCTGGTTATTTGCAAAAAATTGTGAATTTTTAAGGTTGAGTTTGGTCCCACACTAAAAAATGGATATTGTCAATCTTTATTGTTGGTGGTGGGTGGGGGTTTGGTTAGGACTGGGACGGGTCGTATCAGTCTTACTCCTACTGTATGAAAGAAGTATTATATTTTGTTATAAGAATATCTCAAATGAACAATAATCTGTGTTTTGATCTTAATGTGAATAAAGACCTTTTATTTTTAAGACACTTATAGCCATATCTAGTTCACCTTTCTTGCTTGCTATGCAATTTAAAGCCTTGACCACATTTTACACTACAAAAAGACCGACCATGCACATATACCTCCACAGAAAGGATGAGTTTGGAAATCAGTTCATAAATTAGTTGATTCTGTTATTTTATGAAGACATGTATATAAGATAAATAGATAAAAAACAAAATGCAAAAATGTTACAAGATATTGTGTTTTATACGACAACTTGGAAATATTTCATGCAGATAAAACTGTTTCTTTTCTATTTGGAAGGTAAAACCATATCATCTACTTTGTTTGAGTTATCTCCCTTCATCCATACTTTCAAAGTTTCTTATACACTAGTAATATAACTAATACTATCATCATATTATCGATCACCAACAATGTTGTCTTTCTCCAGCCAGGAGAGACTATTTCATCATTATCATTTCTAAGAAAAGGTCCTACTGTATTCAGAATGTAATCATCAGGCATTGCTATGCTCATGAACTAGTGGTTGTTATATATTGGGAAAAGCACATGTGTACAGGACAGTTTAGAGTGTAACATGATGGTCTCCTATGTCCACTTTCGTTCAACACGTCAGTCTACACTGCAAATGGTGAGATTTTGATCTTTTGGCAGGCTTAGAGATAAAGCTTACTTTGAGTGAACTTATTATGAAGGACAATCAAATTTTCACTTCTTCAAAAAATTGATGTTTTTCTCACAAAAATATTTTTAAAAATCTATGATGTTTTGTGACAATCAGCATTCATAGTTTAGTAATTTACTAATGTAATTAGTCTTTTAGGCAAGAATGTCATTGATTAATTTGGATTAAATGTAAAGTTTCATAAAGAAACAAATCTTTAGACTGACCTCTATGGGATATAAGCATTGCTGAAAACCCCACCTTTTGTCAAAAATATCCCTTGGGAAAATAAAATGTCCCTTGGAAAAGAGGAACGACTTTTATATAAATAGAGGGTCTCGGTCCACAAGGATGGGAATTGAAGAGTGGGGCCCAATAGGGGAAATGGAGAAATTCTTTAAAATCTAACTCCTCCCGTAAGAATTATTGGATATTGCCCAAATTTGATCTGAAGCATTCGTAGGTGAACAGGAATCAATTTTGTATAAATGGTGAATCTCAGCCCTCTGGGGCAGGAGGGGTGAAGCCCAACAGGGGAAATAGAGCAATTTCTTTAAGATCCTACTCTTGTGTTCACAACAAATGTTTTCAGTAGTCCAAACAACTTCATTCATGTATATCTTTAACATGTTGCAGGTGGAAGCAATTCATCAGAAGCGAACATTAGCTTTCCTGAACCATTTTGTGAGCCACACTGCCAGCTTTCTCAACCGATTTTCCTGTGTATGTGAAGAGAAACTTGATCACATGTCCAGTCGCCTGCAGCAGCTGGAAATAACTATGAATATTTTAGAAGCGAAGGTAAACTCCTGAATTTAGATTGTTATTCTACATTTGCACCTTCATATCTCAATATCACCACTGTTTGCCTCCTGATTGCTCTCTTGATTTTTTCAATCTCGTACACTTAAAGAACAAAAGTTTTTTTTATTTCACCAGTAACCTAAATATCCCATAAGTAATTATAAAGCCAAGATATGTTTTATATATATTTTGTTTGCCAGTGATGCCAAGCCGTACTCAAAAACACAAAAGATGATCAACATCAAAAGATCATAAACAGTAGTTGAATAGAGTTAATAGATGTCATTATTTGAAATGGGGAGATAATATCATGCTTTGCGTTTTTGTCATTCAATAAAATAATCTGATTTATGTGACACTTACATTTTGCCATTTTAGTAAAATGAAGAATTTGTTGACATGTTGCATCAATCTCCTGCTAAATGAAAACTTATTCAAGATCCTCTATTGCTTTCTTAATGAACAAGATTGGTAATCTGTATGGAAAAGAACAGGGGATAACTGATTCGGAGAAAGAGAGTATTTAAAGAAAAATCCCAGTTGGTGAGGCACTTTAATGCATTTGTTCATATTGGGGAAATAGGTCAAGTTCAGTAAATACTGTGTGTTACCATGGTAGAGTAAATACTGTGTGTTACCATGGTGTAGTAAATACTGTGTGTAACCATGGTACAGTAAATACTGTGTGTTACCATGGTATAGTAAATACTGTGTGTTACCATGGTATAGTAAATACTGTGTGTTACCATGGTATAGTAAATACTTTGTGTTACCATGATGTAGTAAATAATGTGTGTTACCGTGGTAGAGTAAATACTGTGTGTTACCATGGTAAAGTAAATACTGTGTGTTACCATGGTAGAGTAAATACTGTGTGTTACCATGGTGTAGTAAATACTGTGTGTTACCATGGTACAGTAAATACTGTGTGTTACCATGGTACAGTAAATACTGTGTGTTACCATGGTATAGTAAATACTGTGTGTTACCGTGGTATAGTAAATACTGTGTGTTACCGTGGTATAGTAAATACTGTGTGTTACCATGGTATAGTAAATACTGTGTGTTACCATGATGTAGTAAATAATGTGTGTTACCGTGGTAGAGTAAATACTGTGTGTTACCATGGTAAAGTAAATACTGTGTGTTACCATGGTAGAGTAAATACTGTGTGTTACCATGGTGTAGTAAATACTGTGTGTTACCATGGTACAGTAAATAAGTGTTACCATGGTGAAGTAAATACTGTGTGTTACCATGGTAGTATTATCTTATGTTATAGTTGACATCAATACCTGGGCTAGAGAATGTTACAGCCCCATCTAGTGAAGCTACAAGAACAACAGATACTCCACAAACTACCCCGCAATCCAACATTCCTGCTGCCCCGCAAGCTACAGGTGACCAGCAAGGTGTTCCCCAAGTAAGTAAGGCAGTTCTGTAGATTTACAGAGATGATAGATGTCCCACAAACTGCCCCACATTCCCCCAGTCCTACCGCCCCTCAGGCTACAAGTGACCAGCAAGTGTACCCACATTTAATAGGTCAGACCTTCTATCTACAGAGATGATATTTCCTACATATTGTCCCTCTTCTATATATGGTAGTGTCAATGTCAACTCAATTTTATAGAATTGTAGTTACAGTCCTACTGCCCCTCAGGCTACAAGTGACCAGCAAGTGTACCTACATTTAATAGGTCAGACCTTCTATCTACAGAGATGACATTTCCTACATATTGTCCCTCTTCTATATATGGTAGTGTCAATCAACTCAATGTTAAAGAATTGTAGTTACAGTAGAATAAGTTATATTGAATGTTTTGTGGTTACAGCTGTCAGATGTTCTGATTACTACCCATGTAGAATTTGGTTAATATGAGATGTTTTGTGGTAACAGCTGCTGATGGTTGCTGCCCAAGTAGAATTTAGTTAATATGAGATGTTTTGTGGTAACAACTGTCTGATGGTTGCTGCCCAAGTAGAATTTGGTTAATATTAGATGTTTTGTGGTTATAGCAGCTAGATGTTCCTGATGCTGACCCAGTAGAAGAACAGGTAGCAGATAATCCTGTATCAAAGGATCCTCGCTATGCAAAGTATTTTAAGATGCTACAAGTGGTAAGTAGGAAATGTAATTTAAAACTGTGTATATCTACCTGACATTTTACACAATACCCTGTCCTGACAAATGAGGAATGTTGAGGAATAATGGTGGTGATATATATATTTTTCTTTTGACAGGGAGTACCAGAAGGAGCAATTAGGCCTAAAATGAAGATGGATGGACTTGACCCAGACTTTCTAAGGTGTGTTATCAAGCCTGATTCTAGACAGGAATGGGAGTTTATCTCTTTGACACCTTGATCACATGTTTCTATATATATTTCATAGCATTTTTATATTCCCTTCATCTTAAATATGATCTGTATTTTAAAAAAATCCCAATTTCATCAACTTCAAGCCTTAAGATGCTTTACAAAAATTGTAAATTTCATAACACCAGGGTCTCAGATTTGCCTGAGGGAGGGAGTTGATTTTACTGAAGTTTATATAGGAATATTACATTTTTGAGTATTTGTTAATTTATTGCTTGGAAATAGTTAAAACTTTGTTAAAATTATTAGTTTGATGATTTGTACATACTGATCCTAGCTGTCTTAATAGGGCTGACGAGTGGGGCCAAAAGGGATCAAATTGACTTAAATTTCTGATATGCTCAATATCTAGATATGATAGAATGTATTAAATACAGTAAGCCAAAAGAGATCAAATTGACTTAAATTTCAGATATGCTCAATATCTAGATATGATAGAATCTATTAAATACAGTAAAACATGGGATGGCAGATATTGTTATAGTTCAAGTGTTTTGTTACTTTGTTAACAAAATTATTTTCTATGATATAGCTCAGTTGACCACTAAGGCTTTTTCTTTTTTTTTATTGTTTTTTTTTTTGTTAATTTGAAAGTTCCATTCAAAACCATTCACAGCGATGTAATCATAAATTCTATATAAATTCAAGTTTTTTGGATTGCAATTTTATTCCTTTTGTGTCTTATTTTGGTTGTACAGAAAAATGCCTCACAAACTAAAAAAAAAATTTTTTATTTAGCACACCTGATGCCCCAGCGCCACCTATGTCTACCAAGAAAAAGGATGAAAGTGATGATGACTTCAGTGATGAAAGCGAAAGTGATAGTTTCAGTGATTGAAGTGATTGAATATTTACGCTGGATATTGTGATAATCCTGCAAACAATGCAAGCAGTCTTCATCATCCTTGAGTTCATGTCTGTGAAAATCACTGTGAAATCTAAATGATAGAGCATGGAAAAATTGTGAACCATATGTGATAGATTGGCTAATAATGTGCATCACCAGTAATACAGATTGGCTAATAATGTGAATCACCAGTGACACAGATTGGCTCATAATGTGCATCAGCAGTAATACAGATTGGCTAATAATTTGAATTACCAGTGATACAGATTGGCTAATAATGTGAATCACCAGTGATACAGATTGGCGAATAATGTGAATTACCAGTGATGATACAGATTGGGTAATCATGTGAATTACCAGTGATACAGATTGGCTAATAATGTGCGTCACCAGTGATACAGATTGGGTAATCATGTGAATTACCAGTGATACAGATTGGCTAATAATGTGCATCACCAGTGATACAGATTGGCTAATAATGTGAATTACCAGTAATACAGATTGGCTAATAATGTGCATCACCAGCTACACAGATTGGGTAATCATGTGAATCACCAGTGATACAGATTGGCTAATAATTTGAATTACCAATAATACAGATTGGCTAATAATGTGCATCACCAGTGATACAGATTGGCTAATAATGTGAATTACCAGTAATACAGATTGGCTAATAATGTGCATCACCAGCTACACAGATTGGGTAATCATGTGAATCACCAGTGATACAGATTGGCTAATAATTTGAATTACCAGTAATACAGATTTGCTAATAATGTGAATCACCAGTGACACAGATTGGCTAATAATGTGCATCAGCAGTAATACAGATTGGCGAATAATGTGAATTACCAGTAATACAGATTGGCTAATAATGTGCATCACCAGTGTTATATATTGGCGAATAATGTGAAATACCAGTAATACAGATTGGCTAATAATGTGAATCACCAGTGATACAGATTGGCGAATAATGTGAATTACCAGTGATACAGATTAGTCAGTCATGTGAATTATTAGTGATAAAGATTGGCTAATAATGTGAATCACCAGTTATACAGATTAGTCAGTCATGTGAATCACCAGTGATACAGATTAGTCAGTCATGTGAATCACCATTGATACAGATTTGTTAATCATGTAAATCACCAGTGATACAGATTAGTCAGTCATGTGAATCACCAGTGATACAGATTGGCTTATCATGTGAATCACCAGTGATACAGATTTGCTAATCGTGTGAATCACCAGTGACACAGATTAGGCAGTCATGTGAATCACCAGTGATACAGATTAGCTAATCATGTGAATCACCAGTGATACAGATTAGTCAGTCGTGTGAATCACCAGTGATACAGAATGGCTTATCATGTGAATCACCAGTGATACAGATTGGCTTATCATGTGAATCACCAGTGATACAGATTTACTAATCATGTGAATCACCAGTGACACAGATTAGTCAGTCATGTGAATCACCAGTGATACAGATTGGCTTATCATGTGAATCACCAGTGATACAGATTGGCTTATCATGTGAATCACCAGTGATACAGATAAGCTAATCATGTGAATCACCAGTGATACAGATTAGTCAGTCCTGTGAATCACCAGTGACACAGATTAGTCAGTCATGTGAATCACCAGTGATACAGATTGGCTAATAATGTGAATCACCAGTGATACAGATTGGCTTATCATGTGAATCACCAGTGATACAGATTGGCTTATCATGTGAATCACCAGTGACACAGATTAGTCAGTCATGTGAATCACCAGTGATACAGATAAGCTAATAATGTGAATCACCAGTGATACAGATTAGTCAGTCGTGTGAATCACCAGTGATACAGAATGGCTTATTATGTGAATCACCAGTGATACAGATTGGCTAATCATGTGAATCACCAGTGATACAGATTGGCTTATCATGTGAATCACCAGTGATACAGATTAGTCAGTCTTGTGAATCACCAGTGATACAGATAAGCTAATCATGTGAATCACCAGTGATGAAGATTAGTCAGTCATGTGAATCACCAGTGATACAGATAAGCTAATAATGTGAATCACCAGTGATACAGATTAGCTAATCATGTGAATCACCAGTGATACAGATTAGCTAATCATGTGAATCACCAGTGATACAGATTATTCAGTTGTGTCAGTGATATATGCTACAGTCATTTAGTGCAATATGTAAGTTGGTATCAAGACGTTTGATGGATGTGTATTAAATTCATCTAAACAAAGCTTAAGAAGCAGATCACAGGTTAAATTAATTTGTATATTTTGAAAAATATGTAAATGTACATTTTAAATAAAACCTGAAGTTGTTAAATATGGTTATACATATTATTTGGAAACATGACATTGCTTATATTGATTCACCAGGATCAAAAGGCTGATGTCATCAATAAAGCAGTTTATTTTCCTTTTCCACCCCTACCACCAATCGAAGTGGGGAGGGAGCGGCTTAGGTTTTGCTCTGTTTCTTATTAAGTCGCCCTAAGCAAGTCGGAAGGACTTAATGTTCTGCTTTGTTATTATCATTATATACAAATTTAATGGTTTATCTGAAATCTTCCCAATGATTGTTAAATATTGAGAAAAAAAATACTCCTTAACCGATTAACCGATTAACTGTTGTTTTAATCTTTTTGCGTTTGTGAAATACCAATACTTGTTTTGTAATTAATCAAATGGCATTGTGTACATATTTATGATATGTCTCCTACCCTTCCGGTTTCAAGGTTTATGTAAATCAGTCCCGAATACTGTTTTTTTTCAGGTCTGAGTTCACCAGTATATTTGTACAGAAGCATCTGTAACGCCATAAAATAAACTATTTAGATATTCATTTAGAGTATGTACAGGTCATATTGATTTTGATCAAACTCAACTCATCATCAGCAATAAAAGTTTATAAAACGTTTACTTAACGTTTGTTAGAGTGATGTTGACCAAACGAGAGACTGGAAATGTCACTAAGTGATGGCATCAGGTACTCCCCCTACTTTCTTCAGCTTTGATGCCGACGTCCACGCTTGGCTATTGATACATTCTGTGGAACTAGTCCTCACCACTCTGAGACAGCTGACCAAACCTCATACGTTGTCCAGTTAAAGGATGCAGTATGCCTACCAAATTGCTGTAATGAGGCGTCAAAAGGTCGCTTCCTGGACCAAGAAACGATATGACCGTTCTGTTCGTTATTCACGACTTGATATAGGTGACCGAGTCCTGGTAAGGAAGGTAAGCTCAAACTGGCTGATAAATGGGAAGAGGAATATTGTTCAGTCATAAATAGTCCTAACAATGATATCCCAGTGTATGAGCAGAGGTAGGAATCAGGAAAGAGGATGTTGCAAACCATTTACCTAAATATAATTCTTCTATTCAATACCCATAGAGGTTCCCATTGAAGGTGCTCACCGCAAAGTGAAATTGACTCTGCTTAAGTCTGTGCATATAGAATCGTGGAAGTCAACAGACTCAGACAGTGGCATTATCTCTGGATAGGATGGGTGAATGGGCATATGTACAGCGGTTTAAACGTGTTGTGTTAAGGAAATAGGCATTTAAAAAGTAGCCACCGTAATACCATTTTGACAGTTCCTAAATGTTAATACCTATGGTATGTGCCTTATGTAGTGTACTGATAAGGAGGGATCTTTCCAACCGCCCTTGGACACCTGATAAAATTCTTCATTACTTTTATATTCAGCGAGTGTGATACTGCTTGTTTTCCTCTTCTGCATTATCCAGCGTACTTCGCAGTTGTCCTTATTATCTTCAAATGATTGCTTCTGCTGCTGTTGTTGTGAAGTGGAAAAACTCTTCTGAATTCCTGTTAAAAAAGAGAATACTATAAGAAAAATATGAATTATAACTTTACGGTGTTAACTATTGTTATTGTTTCAATATAATTCATCCTTTATGTTTTGAAGTTGAAATGTCGTTTAAAAGATTTACTGGTAGAATGTTTTCTCACTCTTTACAAATTTTCATCGTATTTATGATATTGCTTAGACAGGAGGAATTCAAGTAAAATGCTTTTTATATCAAGTAAGTTGGATTTCAATTGGTGTGTTTTCGAATGCTGTAATACGCTTGATGCATTTTCAAGTGTTGTAATACGATTGGTGCTTTTTCAGCTCTTGTACGCCAAAAAGACAAATTTATAGCTTATCATTCTTCGGTATTACAAGCATTTAAGTTGCCGATTAATAATAAGGATACGGACATTCTCCTTTTATACTGTAACAAACTTCACAAGAACCATATAAACACCGTTTTTATAGCTGGCTCGTCTAACTGTTCAATCAAGCCTTTGTCTAAACTACTAACCTCCATTATAAGTGCTATCAAATCTAGATTATAGTCTTATTGTGATACTTTTTACTCAAGAAATGGAATTTATAGTATGTGGATTTTGAACTCCAAAGAGCTTCTGACCAATTTTTAACACCCTCTTTTTAAAGTATTTTTTTTCTATAAGAACATTTGATTTTTCCACTCTGTACACCACCGTACCCCATACTTCTTCGTTTTCTTGATACGAGAGTTTTCTTCACAAAGAAAATTGAACGGCGGTTTAAATATATGGTTGTGAACAATGCTGAAGCGTTTTTCGTACAATTTACGTCCAAATCAAAGAAGAAATATACGGAGGATGAAATCATAAAAATGATCGAGTTTTTGGTTGACAACATCTTCGTCGAATTGTGTGGTAAGATCTTCTAACAAACTATAGACAAACCTTTGGGAACAAACTGCGCCCCACTGTTGATTAAGCTTATCAAAAAATCATTTAAGTTCACTTTCAAATATATATTGATAACGTCTTATCTTTTAAAAACAAATTGACTAGGTCCATCGCATATATCCACCAGAACTGTAAATCAAAGATACGACATACTCTCCCATCAAGTTGTATGATGAACATGATGCTTTCAATTTCTGTATTGTGAATTTTTCATTTCAGGATAGCAATGTCCCTGCTTATCCAACCTGTGGAATTTACATATCACAGTTGATTCCCATTATCACAATTTTCGTGCAAGAAGTCGTCTACTGACTGAAAAATCTGAACACAAGGGTACAAAAGATGCAGGTTGATGAAAATTACGTTACACAGACTTAACAGAATTTTAAGAGTAGACATGTTCCTTTACATTGTTATTAAATTTTGAAAAAATTCCCAAAACATCATATATTATTGATTGCATAATTTAATCGTGCGTTTTTTGTTGTTGAGTATATGGATGCCGTCAATTAAAACACAATAATAATGGTTGGGTTTATTAAACAATGATAAATATGTTAATCCAATAACAATTATGGATGATAAATTGAGTAATATTTAAAGACGTGCTCAATTAAACAAGTATCATTATGGATGTGGTTGCTTCAGTGAGGGTGATTCCGGATGTGGTAAATAAAACATGATAGATATGGATGAGGTCAGCTTCAGAACGATAAGTATGGATGTTGTGAATTATATAATGGTTAGAATTAATGTTGTAACTGAACTAGACTTTCTAGAATAATGACTAAATATGTACACGAACCAAATAGAATAATAGCAAATTATTTCCCATAAGGCTATTATTTTGTCAAACAATTTTAAAATTGTCAAAAATCTCGTAGTGGATGTACCCTTTTGTAGTGATAAGTGTTAGAGCAGAAAAAAAACATATACATTTTTTAAACAAAATTCCCATAAAAACGTTTATTGCAATATATGAATACTGTCTTTCCGAAATCAAATGAATACTAATCATCTATAACTTGGGATGATAAATTATCACAATTAGATGTCGAAAATATGAATAGGTACTTGTAATGTAGAAATAGATCAACGTATTGATAAATTTGTACCCTCAAAGAATGTATCGGTAAGGCCCAATAAATCCTTGGTTTAATAATGTAACTGTACTCAAATTAGGAGAAGGAATACACTACATAAGAAAGGGGAAAAAATAGTTCGGGAAATCTAGACGTTCCAGGTTTGAGCTAGTTTCACTGATTAGGAAGGCAAAGGAACTCTACTTCACAAATGAACACCTCCGTCCCTAAAGCAATGGTTGAAAAATGTTAAATGTGTCATAACAATGCATAATACGAAAACTGAAAAGTTCCTTTTGGAAGTGAAAGGCAATATTGTAACAAAGACTGGCCAGAAGTATTAAATAATTACTTCTATCTCAACTGCAAATAGATACTTACTGATTTCCATAATTTGCGTTTTGTCATTTTCTTGTTACAGAACATGATATAAAAGATCATCTTCTGTTGATAGATACTAGCGAATCACCAGATTCTGACAATATATAAACGACTCTTTAGCTAAACCACAACTGCTATTATTCGTTTAATCTGTAGAAACGAGTTACCTCCCCTATACCTGGTACAGAACCAATGTTGTTCCCATATATAACGGAAAAGATCAAATGAATTATCCTTCTAATCACATACCTATTTATGTCATTGGTAATTCCCATTGTTTAATTGTTTAATTAACCGCATCCATAATTATCATTGCTTTAATTATCATGTTCACAATGATGTTTTATTTACCGTGATTTATCTAACGTCCACTTTTGATAGTGATGTAGTCTTCACGTATTACTGCTAGCTCTTGATTCACCCCTGTGTGTACAACATACAACAATCGCAACAACGTTTTATTACTGACTAGTTTTTCTACACTCAATAGTCTGTGCTCCGTCGTCCTTCTATTCTTTCCTTCGTTTAAAATGTTTCCAGTGAATCTGTATCAAACGTTTATATGAGAGTTCCTCCTTGCCTGTTGCCCTTAATCATTGGACTGATTGGATAAACTAGGCATCTCAATGATGGTTATCTTACCTTTCATACTTTGAAGCAGAAGAAGGCTATTTTACAATCATGCGAAAACCTTCATTGTCGATAGTTAGCCACCTTTCATTCTGACAGGTAATTGGTCTATTTCCGAAATATTATGTAGACACCCTTTCCCTCTGAAACGAACTTGTATCTTGTCCTGTAAATTATGCCTGCTAGAGGATCAGCAAGGACTTCCTTGTCTTCAGCACCACCACGTGGTGGAGCTCGGAGCAGGGTTAGTGACTTTGATGTTGAACCTAAGTCTATCGTCGAACGTCTGGACGAAATCAACGACGTACTCAGTACTCTCATTACTAGAGACTATATGGACAGAAAAGTTGCTGGTTTACGGAATGACATTAGGAACGAGAATAAGGAACTTATTGACCGATTGGAAAGAAGGATTTTCGTACTAGAGTCGGAGAATGAGAAGCTTCGGTCTACCGTCAGAAAACTTGAACAACAGTTGTCCGAGCAGAGTGACTACCAGAGACTTTCATGTAAAGCTCAACGACTTAGAGCAGCACGGAAGGAAAAATTCCCTGAGAATAGCTGGACTTGATGATACTGATGTGAAGGAAAGTGCTGAAGAGTGTGTTGGGAAGATAGTTTCGTTTGTGAACGACAAGTTGAAGATCCCATTACGTAGTGAGGACATTGACGTAGCTCACCGACTTGGGAAATTTTCTAAGGAAATTGATTGTGATTGTGAAGTTTGTGAGGAGACGGTAGAGACATCAGATAATTAAATCTAGACGGACACTTAAGGGTACCAAATTCTTAGTGTTTGAAGACTTAACCAGACTCAACCAACAGAAGCTTAAGGCGGTTACTCATTAGACTGTGTGAAAAACTCCTACAGCCTGGATGGAAAACTTTTTATAATTTTGAACAATGGGACTAAACGAAGGATTTTCCTTGACACAGATCTCTCGGAAGACAACTCGATTTGCGACAAAAACTTTGGCCATGTGAAAGACAAGTGATAATCTCGATCGGTTGTGAACTGAAGGCAGTGGACTGCCGCTAGAGACTAAGTCTCTAGTAACCGATATACATGTCTTTAT